CCAGATAATTATCCTGAAGAAGAGCTAAATGAAATGAAGGTAAGAAATTTATCAGATACAGAATTCAGAATAATGATGGTAAAAATGCTCAACAACATGAGAAAAGATAAAGTAACTATGAAGAATGACATACCAGTAATAAACACAGTGGAAGGAATACACAGCATATTAGTGGAAGCAGAGGATTGAATCAGTGAATTAGAAGATAGGGTAGAAAAAAAAGTCAATCAGAGAACCAAAAAGAAAAAAAGCAATTAAAAAAAGGAGGGCAGCTTAAGAGACCGGTGGGACATGACATGTAACCATATTCACATGAGAAGAGTACCAGAAGGGGAAGAAGCAAGGAATACAGGGTGTCCCAAAATTCACGCAAGATTTGAATTTTGCGTGAGCAATAACAACAACAACGAAAAATAAAAGCCTAATTTTACTTGGTTTATTGAATCAGATTCTAATATCTGTTGCCCTTTGATTTCAATCCCTTCAATTTGATAAGCATTACCAAGTACCAATTATGGCCCAGGAGCAGGGACAATGAAGACCAATGAAGACCACGGCTTTGCATATGTGCCAGCAAAGCTGTGGAGGCCATTTTCCTGATGTGCTATTCCATACATAACCCTATACTGTATACTTTATGAATCAATAAGAAATTTACAATTTTTAATTATAAACCTGTGTTTTCTATCAAAATTACTTCTTGCGTGAATTTTGGGACACCCTATAGATAACGCCATTGAAGAAATAGTGGCAGAAAACTTCCATAACCTGGTGAAGGAAAAAGTCACACAAGTTCAGGAGGCACAGAGAGTCCCAAGAAAGAATAACCCGCCCTAACCGGTTTGGCTCAGTGGATAGAGCGTCAGCCTGCGGACTGAAAGGTCCCAGGTTCGATTCCGGTCAAGGGCATGTACCTTGGTTGCAGGCACATCCCCAGTAGGAGGTGTGCAGGAGGCAGCTGATCGATGTTTCTCTCTCATCGATGTTTCTAACTGTCTATTTCTCTCCCTTCCTCTCTGTAAAAAATCAATAAAATATATATAAAAAAAAAGAATAACCCAAAATAGGTCCTTGCCAAGACACATCATAATTAAAATGCCAAAAATTAAAGACAAAGAATCTTAAAGCCAGCAAGAGAAAAGAAAACTGTTACCTACAAAGGAGCTCCTGTAAGGCTGACACCTGATTTTTCATCAGAATCTCTATAGGCAAGAAGCGAATGGCATGAAATACTCAAGGTAATGGAAAGCAAGGATCTGAAACCAAAATTACTATCTCTAGCAATGCTATCATTTAAAATAGTGAAATAAAGAGCTTCCCAGACCCAAAAAAAAAGAAAAAAAAGGCTAAAGGACTACATCTCCACCAAGACAGCATTACAAGAAATGCTAAAGGACTGCTGTAATGAGAAGAAGAAATATAAGAAATATAGAGAGAAACATAGGCATACAGAATTAAAATGGCAATAAATAAGTACCTATCAATAATAACCTTAAGTGTAAATTGATTAAATGCTCCAATTAAAAGATATAGAGTAGCTGAATGGATACAAAAACATGACCCAATTATATGCTGTCTACAAGAAACCCACCTCAGAACAAAAGACTCACACAGGATCATAGTAAAGGGATGGAAAAAACTTTTCCATGCAAATGTAACAACAAAAAAAAGAGGGGTTAGCATTACTCATATATGACAAAATAGACTTCAAAATGAAGGCCATCACAAGAGACAATTCAGGTCACTACATAATTCTGAATGGATTGATCGAGGAAGAGGATATAACTCTGGTAAACATGTATGCACCCAATATAGGAGCACCTAAGTATATTAAAAAAAAAAAAAGTCTGGAGAACTTTAAGAGATAATTCGACAGCAATACGGTAATAGTAGGGGACTTTACATCGCTGACTTCACTGGATCTTCTAGACAAATAATTAAAAAGGAAACGGTGACTCTAAATGACACACTGGATAAGATGGATTTAATTGTCATTTATAGAACATTTCACTCCAAAGCTGCAGAATATACATTCTTCTCAAGTGCACATGGATCCCTGTATCATTCTCAAAGATAGACCACATCTTAGGACACAAAACAAGTCTCTATGAATTCTGGAAGATTGAAATCTTATCAAGTACCTTCTCAGATCATAATGGAATGAAATTAGAAATCAACTACAGTAAAACCATTCTAACACATGGAGCTAGATAGCATATTATTAAACAATGAATGGGTTACTAATGAGATCAAGAAAGAAAGAAAAACTTCCTGGAGTCCTAACTGGTTTGGCTCAGTGGATAGAGCGTTGGCCTGTGGACTGAAGGGTCCCAGGTTCGATTCCGGTCAAGGGCATATACCTTGGTTGTGGGCACATCCCCAGTAGGGAGTGTGCAGGAGGCAGCTGAATTGATGTTTCTCTCTCATCAGTGTTTCTAACTCTCTATTCCTCTCCCTTCCTCTCTGTAAAAAATCCATAAAATATATTTAAAAAACAAAACAAAAAAAACTTCCTGGAAACAAATGAAAATGAATGCACAACTACTCAAAATCTCTGGGACATAGTAAAAGCAATCCTGAGAGGGAAGTTCATAGCACTACAGGTCTACCTCAAACAAGAAATATTAATAATAAAATATTTAACCTACAACTTAAAGGATTAGAAAGAGAACAAAAAGAGAAGCCTCGAGTAAATAGGAGGAAGGAAATAATAAAGATTAGAGCAGACAAAAATGACAGAGACTAAAAAAAGAACATACAAAAGATGCATGAAACCTAGAGCTGGTTCTTTGAAAAGATAAACAAGATTGATTAGCCTTTAGCCAGACTCATCAAGAAACAAAGTGAGAGGACCCAAATAATTAAAATCAGAAATGAAAGCTGTGAAGGAACAACTGACATAACAGAAATACAAAGGATTGTAAGAAAATACTATTAGCATATATATGCCAACAAGCTGGACAATGGGGATGAAATGGACAAATTCCTAGAAAAATACAATCTTCCAAAACTGAATCAGGAAGAATCAGAAAACCTGAACAAGCCAATAACAACTGAGGAAATTGAGGCAGTAAAAAAAAAAAAAAAAAAAAAAGTTCTAGCAAACAAAAGCCCTGGTGTGAATGTCTTCATGGGGAAGTTTTACCAGACATTCAAAGAAATACTTAACACCTATCCTCATCAACTATTCCAAAAAATCCAAGAGGGAGGAATACTTCCAAGCTCCTTTTATGAGGCCAACATTATCCTAATTCCAATACCAGATAAAGATATGGGAGGTTTGAAGACAGAGGAGGAGTGAAATAAATATCTGTGAAACTTGATGAATCCTAATGGCCTAACATCAATGGTCCATTTGAAACAAATAGTTTTGAATTTAAAATGAGACCACAAAATAGGTATTTTTATATAGGCATTTCAGCTAAATAGAGCATAAGCAAAGCAACTGGTTGGGATTTTTCCAGGGAAATAGGACAGTGAAAGAGCTGTAAGAGAATGCTAAGGAATCTAAACCAGGTAAAGGTGAAGTGAATACGTGATGGGTTGAGGGAGTGTGAAAATATGGAAGAGTCACTGTGGTTGAATAGCTCTTATAGTCAAAATGCTAGAAGGAATGAGCTGAGAATGAAAAATAATAATTTAAATCTGAGATTATGAATGAAGTGCAGTTATAATCTGTGGATGTTTGGGAAGGATGGCTGAGAGTACATATCAAAGAACTAAGAGGTCCAGTTATTAGAAGTACCATTGTTTGGATGTCGAAATCCCAAAGAAAATAAAAGGAGTAGTAATAGAGGCATAGTAAATTAGATGCTATAATCTAGGAGTGGGGAGTAGAGATCTGGAAGTCAACTGATACCAGCAAGGAAGGGTAGAGCTTATATAATAGCCTAATGGCATGAACTTCAAAGAAACTAAGTAGTTTTAGGGAGAGTAGAGGATAATAGTTTGGCAGTAGTAATGGAGAACAGGAAAAAGTGCCTCACCTCAAACTTAGTGGCTTGAGGATGAGAAAGCAGTATCTTTGAGGATTTCAGTTCTAACTGAAAATAAGATGAAGGAGAAGTTCACTGAAGAGGTTGAATATGGAGCCTATTTTGCCGAAGATGGCCTGGGAGTTCCTGGGATCACAATGGACGTATATAAACGAATTGGGGGGTGGGTAACATATCAAATTAGAGGACTTTCTAAGACTAATAAGGGCAAGTCTTCATAAGTAGGAATGACCTGGGGGCCTTAGGCTTCTGTGGAATGGGGTTAATGGGAATAATGCTGACAGTGAGATGACACTATGATTTGGGAGAGAAACAGGGGATTCACCTAACTGCCACCTCAGCTTTCATTTTCTGTGTTGGTAGAGGTAGGAACTCTGTCTCCATCTTTCCAAGGAGAAAAATATCTACCCCTTCATCTTATCAGTTAATCCTAGATATAGAAGAAATTAAAATATGATTTTGAAGCTTCATAGAGCTTACTCTGGCCAGAATAGCACTGGACAGGATTGCTATATTTTCTACATCCTATACCTATGGCAGATATTGCTAATCCAACTTGGCACTGTTTCTCCCTGACTCTGGCTACAGTTTTAGAATCCATTTCATCACAGTACTGGAAATACCAGCTACTAATCCATAGTAATTAATTATTCACTGAGTATGTCAGTTATTGTGCTGAGCATGTTTTATAGATATTACTTTAATTATTACAACAGCCCTATGAGGTTTTACAGATGAAGACACCAATGACCAAAAATGTTAAGAAACTTGCTCAAGATCATAACAGCTGAAAAGCAGGAGAACCAAGATTCAAATACTGTTCTGTTTTCTTCCAAAAATCTCTCACTTAACCATTGTAATTTAATTATTGGAACTAATGATGAAATATCATTGCCATCCCTATGAGGTATTTGCAATTAATTTATTTTCAGGATCACCAGGATATACTAAAAAACAACAACAACAAAGAAAAATGAAAGATTATCTATGTTGATTATTTTGTAGGAATAAAGAGGGTAAACCCATAAGTGGGAAAGAGTTACAGAAGAATGTCAGTCAACCAAGAAAGGAAGAGTCAAGGAGTTCCTGAAGACGGTAATGAAGCAATCTTAAATAAATAATTAAAAGATAAGCAGCAACAAGAAAGCACATAATAGGATAATTGTGTTAAATTTTATAGAAAATTAGGATACTGGGAAGCTGTTAAGTTTCTCCAGGAAGAAACTTATTTAGTGTTTAGAAAAGGTATAACAACCTGAAAATGCAGGCCTATAATGAATAGTCATCAACTATAATTGCTATATTGTTGCTATGGTGGCAGTATAATTATAATATGAATGCCAGTGGTCTGGATAAAAACAATTGGGACAATCAAAATATTTATACTGTTCTATAAAGAAACAGGTACAACATTGCAGTAGGCTATTTTGAATTGTCTCTTATGATGGCCTTTGATTTTGGTTTTGTTTATAGTCAGAAAGGGAAAATTGCAAACCTAAATTTTCTTATGAAAAAACATCACATTTGTAATGACTTCGAGTAAAGAAACATGACTTGTTTGCATTTAAATTTTTATGATATACATTATTCCTTTGTCTAGCTCTGGCTAACCAAGACACATCTTCATTAACCGATGTTGTAGAGCAAGTTGCAAAGCAACAACAATCACAAACATCAGAAATAGAAAAAAACAAAAAAGTTCTGTTTCATTTACAGGTAACTGTTTCATACTGTCTTCTAAATGAGTCTTTATTTTCTTTAAAACTATATTAAATTAGTAACAAGTAAGTTATTGAGGATACTTAATTTTGTTAGTCAATTTTAAACGTATTTTTTATATTTACCTCTTTCTTAATTATTCTGTTATCCGTAAGTGAAATCTACTTGAGTATTCCAATTTTGTGGAAGATTTTTATACACCCAATATACAAATATTCAACAGTGTAATTGCAACTGTAGTATGAGCATATGAAACCCAATGTCTCACATAGAATTATTTCAAATTCACTTCTACTTGATATTTTTTCCTAAAATGCTGAATTTAAGGAAGGTTAGTGGTTTGAAAGCTATGACTTGTGAGTTGCTAGTTGTCAGTGAACATTTTAAGTAAATAAGGAACATTTCTGTTTCTTATATTTCATAATATATTTATAATTCCACAGGGAATCCCAAAGGCATGTTTGGTTTTTGCTTATAGCATAATTAGGTGACAATATCCAGTTAATATAGCTAAAAAAGCAAAATGGAAATAGTACCTTCACTATATGCTTTGTAAAGTTTTAAGAGCTGAACTGCCTAGTTTGAAAGATAAGATTTGCTACTTCCAGGTCTGTGATTTAATTTCTCTGTGCTTCTGTTTTCTCCTTTTTAAAATGGATATAATAATAGGACCTGCCTATAAGGTTTTCATGATGATTAAATTAATTAATACTGTAAATATTATGTAAGATATCCTTGCTCGGGCCCCAGTGGACAGTATAGTTTCAATTTTGATATTGGCTTTAGATATTAATGACCAGCAGAGATATGATGATAATTATACTATCATGGTAATATGTATTTCTTATAAATATTTGCATTACATTAGTCACTATTAGACAGAATACATGTTTACAATAGAATATAATACAAAAAATAATGTCTTTGATTTCTATAAAGAAATTTTCTGTAACACTTTCCAGTCTTCAAAGAATGTCACAGATACTATTTCACTTATATTGAGGGCCTACTTTTTATTAAGCATTTTGCTGAAGAGGGTCCATTTTTTAAGTTGCTCATTATCTTTTGAAGAGGGAGACAAAGAATTAAACAAATAATTACATGCAGGGCAGCAGTGTCAACAATAGAGGCATGAATATAGATTTAACACTGAAGGAGTTAGAAAGATATGTTCAGTTGAGTTTTAAAGGACAGTTAGAGTTCACTTCAATGATTGGGTGTGTGAGACAGGTTTAAGAGTTAAGGGGTGAGAAGGGTAGTATTCCAGATAAAAAGAACCTGAGAAAATTCACAGATGCCTAAAAAAGCATTAGTACGTTGACAGAATTATAAGTAGTTCGGTGATGGTATAGCATAGAGTATGTTTTAAGAAGTGGTGAGAGATGTATGTCATGGTATGAAACTTGGACTTTACTTGAAAGGTTTTGATGGGCTTTAAGCAAGGGAGCAAGTAATTAAATTTATATTTTAGAAGGAAAATTCTAGAAACGTCATAAAACACTTTTAACACAACAGCCATGCATGATTAAAACTCTCAGCAAATTAGGAATAGAAGTTCCTCACTCTAAAAAAGGGCATCTAAGCCCAACCAGTGTTGCTCAGTGGTTGAGTATTGACCCATGAACCAGGAGCTCATAGTTCAATTTCCAGTCAGGACACATGCCCAGGTTGTGGGCTCAATCCCCAGTAGGGAGCATGCAGGAGGCAGCTGGTCAATGATTCTCTCTCATCATAGATGTTTCTATCTCTCTCTTTCGCTCCCTTCCTCTCTGAAATCAATAAAAACGTATTTAAAAAATAATAAAAAAGAGCATCTACATAAATCCTACAGCCAATTTTATACCTAGCTAGAGGCCCGGTGTATGACATTTGTGCACTGGGGTGGGGGGTCCCTCAGCCTTGACTGTGCCCTCTCACAATCCGGGACCCGTTGGGGGATGTCTGACTGCCAGCTTAGGCCCACACCTGCCACCACCGCTGCAATCACCAGCTGTGAGCCCAGCTTCTGGCTAAGTGGCGCTCCCGCTGTGGGAGTGCACTGACCACCAGGGAGCAACTCCTACATTGAGTGTCTGCCCCCTGGTGGTCAGCGCACATCATAGCGGCAGGTTGTTCCACCGTTCAGTTGATTTGTATATTATGGTTTTATTATATAGGATAGTGAAAGACAATGTTTTCCTTCTAAGATCAGGAACAAGGCAAGGATATGTGCTCTTGCCACTTTTCATTCTTTGGTACTAGTGCATTGAGCCACTGTAATCTTGGAAGAAAATAAAATAAAAAGCATCCACATTGAAAAGGAGGGAGTAAAACTTTTTATTCATAAGCATGATTATATTTAGAAAATCCCAAGGAATCTATTTTTTAAGAAGTTGTTAGGACTAATAAGTGAGTTTTTTTTTATTATTTTTTTAAATATATATTTTTATTGATTTCAGAGAGGAAGAAAGAGGGAGAGATAGAAACATTAGTGATGAGAGGGAATCATTGATCAGCTGCCTCCTGCATGCCCCAAACTGGGGATCAACATGGGCATGTGCCCTAACTGGGAATCAAATCGTGACCTCCTGGTCCATAGGTCAGCACTCAACCACTGAGCCACACTGGCCGGGCAATAAGTGAGTTTAGAAAGCTCATAAGATTAACTATGAAATCAGTTGTATTTCTATATATTGAAAGAAACAATCAGAAGTTAAAAATTTAAAAAGCAGTGTCATTTACAGTAGCATCAAAACTATGAAATACTTAGGGGTAAATTTGACAAAGGTTTGTGTTATAAACCGAATGTTTATGTCACCCCAAAACTCACATGTTGAATCCCTAATCCCCAAATGTGATTAATTTTGGAGATGGGGCCTTTGGAAGGTAATTAGGTTTAGGGGAGATCATAAAGGTGTGGGGCCCTACTGATAGGATCAGTGCCCTTACAAGGAGAAACACCAGAGTGCTTGTTCTCTCTCCTCGCTCTGCCACATGAGGACCCAGTGAGAAGGTAAGGCAGGCAGAGTTCTCACTAGTATTGGGCCGTACTGATATCCTTTCCAGCCTCTAGAACTGTAAGAAATAAATTTCTGTTGTTTAAACCACTAAGTCTATTGTATTTTGTTGTGGCAGCCCAAGCAGACTTAAGACCATTTATAAGAGCTGTATACTGAAAACTGCAAAACATTGCTGAGAAAAATTAAAGATTAAAACAAATACTAAATGCAGAGATACACCATTTTCACAAATCAGAAAATTCAGTATTGTTAACATGTCAGTTCTTTCAATTTTATCTACAGTTGAAAATCAATTTCGATAAAAATTCCAGCGGGCTTTTTTTTTTTTGAGAAATGGATGAGCTGATTCTAAGTCATATGGAAATCCAAAGAACCAGTAATAGCCAAAACATCTTTGAAGAACAACAACAATGTTGGACATTCTTACATTATCTGATTGTAAAATTTATTATAGAGTACAATAATCAGGACAGTGTGATATGGCATAGATAGACATACAGTTGTATAGAACAGACTAGTGTCCAGAAATGCCCCACATATATCAATTGATTTCAAAGACGTGCTGTTATGGAGTGAATGTTTGTGTCCCCCCATGGTATGTGGAAGTGGAACATTTGGGAGATAATTAGGTTTATATGAGGTTATGAGGGTGAAGCCCCTGTGATGGGACTATAAGAAGAGAAAGAGACCCTCGAGCTGTCTTTCTCTCTCTCTCCCATTTGAGGACACAGCTAGAAGGTGGTTGTCTACAAGGCAGGAACAGGGCTCTCACCAGGGGCTGAATCCGCTGCACCTTGATCTTGTACTTTCTAGCCTCCAGATCTATGAGAATTTAGTGTTTATGTTTAAGCACCCAGTCTATGGTATTTTGTTATGGCAGTTGATTAGAGCTAACACAGGTGCCACGGCAGTTCATTAGAGAAACAAATAGTGGAGGACAGCCAGATGCAAAAAAAGTGAATCTCAACTTTCACCTCATACCACATACAAAAAGTAACTAAAAATGTATTATGGGCCTAAATGTAAGAATTAAAACTACACAGTGTCAGAGAAAACATAGGAAAAAAGCCTAGTGATGTTGGATTTGGCAAAGATATTTTAAATAGGACACAATTTTTTTTTACATTGGATGTCATCAATTTTTTTTTAACCTCACCTGAGGATATGTTTTTATTGATTTTTAGAGAGGAAGGAAGGGAGAGAGAAACATTGATGTGAGAGAAACATTGATCAATTGCCTTCCATACCTGTCCTGACCAGGGATTAAACCCACATCCATCCTGTGTATGTACCCTGACTAGGAATTGAATCTGCAACCTTTTGGTGTACGTACGGGATGATGCTCCTACCAACTGAGCCACTCAGCCAGGGCTCATCAAATATACTTTTTAAAGTTTTTGTTCAAAAGAAACTAATGAAAATGAATGTGAGATATATTTTCTGGTACCCTCTTGGAATTTGCATTGTCATAGACTGGGAGAAAATATTTAACAACATATCTGACATTGTATGTGTATTTACAATATATAAAGAACTTCCATTATTTAAGAAGGCAAACAATTCAAAAATGGGCTAAATATTTCAATAGTCATTTCATCTAAGAAGTTATTATAAAAGACAAGCATGTGAAAAGATACTCAATATCAATAATTGTTAAGAAAATGCAAGTTGAAATTACAATGAGATAGCACTCAATACACACTAGAATGACTACATTTAAAAAGACTGACCATACCAAGTGTTGGTGTAGATATGCAAGAACAGAACTCTCAAACCCTGTTATTTGGAATGTAAAAACATTTGGGAAAACAGTTTACAGTTTTGAAAAGGTTAAAATATGTCTACCATATAATCCAACCATTCAATGTCCAGATATTTGTTTACACAAAAGAAATAAAAGTGTATGTCTATTGGAAAACCGGAAACAACCGAAATGGCCCATCAGATGAATGGATAAAAAAAAAAAAAAAGTGATACATCCACAAAAGGAATACTACT